CGTTCCCCTTTCTGCAGTTCTAGAAGAATGTCTTTGCTAATCCAGATATCACTTCAGGAGAAGTGTTCCAACAGGGAGAAGAACACGAGGTAATTTGGAGGCAGATGAACACCGTTTGGTCCACACTCCCTTCACAGGGGCTGAGGGTCCCTCCCGGTCCGCAGCTGCCTGGCTGGTTGTCCTTAAATCACACCTGAGACCTGAAAGAGACAATGTAGAGGGAATAATGGTCAGTATGAGCAAGGAGGAAGGGGCATTTTGGTTTTTTCCACATGACTTAACCGACAGGAGGCAGTGCTGCTTCCCCCACCGTCTAGTCTTGAGAAGATGGACCAACCTACTAGGTATTGGCCAGCAATGCTGAAAGCAAAATAGCTGGAATGCACTCTGGTGGGATTTACACCTTGGGAAACATAGGCCCTCTGCTCTAATCTGCAATGACTCCGTCGATTTTTGCTTTCCAGACTCAGGGAAATGCTCTATAAATGGGCATTTGTAATTAGGGTACACTAAGCTTGAGCCTTCAAGAGCTCAACTGCTTAATGCCATTAACAGATGGGAGAGATTCACTCGTCCCAGAGCAGAGAAGAAACCTTCGCTGATGAAGTGGGCAAACATCCACCTCATTTACTCTCCTCCTCTTTGGAGTAGTAACGATCGTACGGTGAAAACTTCATCAAGACTGTAGAAGACACACTATGGTTACTCCCAATTGTTTGAAAATGACTTGTGATTCTGCTCAACACTGTAGAAAGAGGAGCTGAGGGATATCTAAAGATGAAAAACTCAGTGTGTTACCTCTGCTTGATAGGATGCTGGGAACTGTAGTATAACTTTCGCTGCGAAAGCTGTGCTCTTCTGAAAACGTTCAAATAAATCTATACAACGTGAAGGGGATCGGTAATTTAACGTGGCGATGGCAATAGCTTCGGTTACTGTCATAGAAACACATGGAAATGAGTGACAAGTATAGCTATATTGTTGTTGTTATGTGCCATCAAGTCGCTTGCGACTCATAGCGACCCTATGTACAACAGCCCTAAACTCCGCTCTGTCCTGTGCCAATCGCACTGTCTCTGACACTCCCATCC